TTACAGCGACAGAAATAGGCGTGCGGTTCTTACTACCAATGAAGTTGAGACAAGTCCCTTAAGCAAGGAGCAGATGGATCACCTTCTGAAGCTGCTGAAATTTAATTCCTCATTTGGAATTCCTAGTGTTTCTCTTGCACAAATAGGTAGTGCACTTAATGTCCTTTCTTGTTGTTTAAATTTTGCTCCATGGATTATCGATTCTGGAGCCTCTGATCATATGACCAGCCTTTCTAATCTTTTTAGCACTTACTCACCATGTTCTGACCTTGAAAAAATTAGAATTGCAGACAGTAGTTTCTCACCTATTGCAGGAAAATGTTTGATAAAATTATTCGAGAATATAGATCTTAAATCTATTTTCCATATCCCTAAACTAGCCTGTAACCTTTTGTCTGTGAGTAAACTAACCAAAAAATCTAATTGTCATGTATTTTTTTGTGATTCTTACTGTAAATTTCAGGACAGGAGCTCTGGGAAGAAGATTGGTAGTGCTAAGATAATACATGGACTTTACTACTTTGATGGTGACTTCTTTAGTAATAAAAAGGCTCAGGGCCTTAGTAATGTTAGTTCTAACTCTGTTTATGAACAAATAATGTTTTGGCATTTTAAGACTAGGATATGCTAACTTTCCATATCTTAAACATTTGTTTCCTTTTTATTTAAAGGTTTGGATTATTCATCATTTTATTGTGAAAGTTGTTGCTTATCTAAGAGTCGTCGTACTACTTATTTGCCAAAACCTTATACTTCTTCAAAACCATTTTATTTAATACATAGTGATGTTTGGGGACCTTTAAAAGTCCCTAATATTTGTAGGAAAAAATGATTTGTTACTTTTATAGATGATCATACTTGTGTATGTTGGGTTTATTTGATGAATGAAAAGTCTGAGGTTGAAAATTTTGTTTAAGAATTTTTACACAATGGTTGAAACTCAGTTTTAAGCAAAAATTAGCATTTTTCACACCGATAATGGAACCGAGTATTTTAATGAAATTTTGGGGAGTTTTTTTTGAAAGAAAATGGTATCAATCATCAGTATACTTGTGTGAATACCCTTTAACAAAACGGAATTGCTGAAAGAAAAAATAAACATTTACTTGAAGTGGCTTGTGTTATAATGTTTTCAATGAATGTTCCAAAATATCTTTGGGGGGAAGCTGTTTTAACAGCTTCATATTTGATTAACAGAATGCTTACACGTGTTTTAAAATATAGCACGCCATTAGAATGTTTCAAAAGAATTTTTCCCTTATCAAGGATATACTCGGATTTACCTTTAAAGGTTTTTGGCTGTATAGCTTTTCTTTATATACCCAATAATACTCGGTCCAAACTTGATCCTCGAGTTGAAAATTTTGTTTTCATAGGGTATGCTTCTAATCAAAAGGGATATAAGTGCTATAATCCCCAAACAAGAAAATTTTATGTGAGTATAGATGTCTCTTTCTTTGAAAATAAATCCTACTTGCACAAAAATTCTCTTCAGGGGGAGGATGAGGTGTTGAAGAAATTTTTTGGGATTTATCTCCAATTCCTTTACCAAATGTGATTTTGACTACTTCACCTCATCCTACTATTTTTCCCGAAATTCAAAGTCAGGAACAATGTGATAAAACCAATGAAAATAATGAAGGGAATCCTAATCATATAGTGCTAAACATTACTGTATCTGAAACAGGGGAAGAATCACTGCAACCGGGCACAAAAGTTCCCAATACTGAGCCTCTGGTTTATACTCGGAAAAGACCTTATCAAAAGAGTCAAAGTCAGCCTATTCCTCTTGGAAATGATCAATCTCGACCTTCGGGAATTAGACCTCCAGATATCACAGGTAGTTATGTTCCTAACTCATCTTCAATTCGTGTTGCTTCTCCTAACTAAGAACTATCAGACGTTGATATTCCTATAGCTGTTAGGAAAGATATTCGAATCAAATATCTAAATCCAAAATATCCCATTGCCAAATACTTTTCTTATGAAAAACTCTCTCATACTCTTAGGGTTTTTACCTAAAAAATCTCATACTTGTTTGTTCCGAGAAACATTTAAGAAGCTCTTAATGATCCGAATTGGAAGTTAGCAGTGATGGAAGAGATGAATGCTCTTAGAAGAAGTGGTACTTGGGAGATAGTTGATTTACCTAAGGAGAAAAGAACAGTAGGATGCAAGTGGGTCTTTACTGTGAATTGTAAAGCTGATGGTAGCATAGAGAGGTACAAGGCAAGAGTAGTAGCAAAAGGGTTCATTCAGACCTATGGAATTGATTATCAGGAAACTTTTGCTCCTGTAGCCAAGATAGACTTAATTAGAATCTTGTTATCTTTGGCTGTGAATTTCAACTGGCCATTACACCAGTTAGATGCAAAAAAATGCCTTTATTAATGGAGATCTTAAGGAGAAGGTCTTTATGAATCTACCACCTGGGTTTAAGGGAAAATTGGGACCTAATAAAGTTTGTAGACTGAAAAAAATCTTTATATGGTCTTAAACAATCCCCCAGAGCTTGGTTTTAAAGATTTAGGAAAGTTGTGAAGAATTGTGGCTACTGTCAAAGCCAAGCTGACCATACCATGTTCTACAAACACAGTAGAGAAGACAAGGCTGTAGTCTTAATTGTCTATGTGGATGATATAGTCTTGACAGGTGATGATAATGAAGAATTGGAGAGACTAAAAAAGAGACTTGCAGCTGACTTTGAGATCAAGGATGTAGGTGCATTAAAATACTTTATTCGAATGGAATTTGCTAGATCCAAATAAGGTATATTTGTGAATCAACATAAATATGTTCTTGATTTACTTAGTGAGATAGGTTTGCTAGGATGTAAACGAGCCGAGACACCCATTGAGCCCAACCTTAAGCTACAGCCTTCTAAAGATGAAGAAGTTCTGAATAGAGAGCAATATCAAAGACTTGTTGGAAGACTGATCTACTTGTCACATACACGTCTAGATACAGCTTTTACATTTAGCATGGTTAGCCAGTTCATGCATTGACCTGGATGAGAACACTTTGATGTAGTTTACAGAATTCTCAGACACCTAAAGGGACCCCTGGAAGAGGTCTACTATTAAAAAACCATAGGCATTTGCAAGTTGAAGCCTATACTGATGTGGATTGGGCTGGGAGTGCTATTGATAGACGGTCAACTTCTGGTTACTGCACCTTTGTTGGAGGTAACCTTGTCACCTGATGCAGTAAAAAACAGAATGTGGTAGCAAGAAACAACGTAGAGGCCGAGTTTAGATCAGTTGCTCATGAAATTTGTGAGGTGTTATGGATTAAGAGACTATTAGAAGAATTAAAGGTCTCTAATCTGTTGCCTATGAAATTATACTGTGACAATAAAACTGCTATTTCGATCGCTTACAATCCAGTGTTTCATGACAGAACAAAGCACGTGGAGGTAGGAGAACACTTCATCAAGGAAACGCTCAAAAACGGATTGATCTATATGCCGTGCATTCCTACTACCGAGCAAGTTGCAGATGTGCTTATAAAGGGACTTCCTACAAGATAGTTCGACAGACTAATTAGCAAGCTGGCTATGGAGGATATCTTCAACTAGTTTGAGGGGGAGTGTTGAAAAAAAAAGATTCGGTAGTAATCCTACTAAATATTATTAGCTGTAAATATAATATTTGGTGGATATTTGATGTAAATAGAATATTGGTCAATGCTGTAAATTAGGAAATTATTAATTAGGTCGGCTAGTTATTGTAAACAGTTTTCTGATTTTATGCTTGTATTCTCTCCCATAAAGGAACCGTATAAACTTATGAATATTGTGAGCTAATAAAGAGAAAATGTTCATTCCATATTTCTTTCCCTTTCAAGTTTATAGATACCCAGCTTAATACCTATAGTTATTGTCCTGATATTATTGATTGTGCATATCAGGTTTCCAAATGTCAATGCTACCTCTGCCATTTTGATTGTCGAATCAGTCGAAAGTCAACGACTAATGAAGGTTTGTATGACTTACTATGTAGAGAGCCAAAATGAAACTCTTATTGAATATTTAGAGTTATATGGAGATACCTCGATAGTCCAGTGGGTTAGTATTTCAAGTAAAGTTTGAAGTGCAAGGCTTTGACTCTCTACATTTACTAATTTAACTTCAAACACTTTTTTTTTTTTTTTTCTTGTAAATAAATGTATATTAGACTTATATAACAAATGGAATAGAAAAACGTCATAATCCAAGGTTTTTGTTTTTTTAGCTAAATGCAAAGGTTCTTCTTGGCCTACTTTGATTCCACAAAATGACAGCTCTAATTGTACTACCTATGGTTGGACAATAATTGCTGTAATTTTTATTTATTTTATTTTATACTCTCTGTTACAATCTTGTAATAGATTGAAAAATCAATCAAATCATTCACATATGATGTAAATTGGTTATCAACAAAATTAAGAAAAATGAGTAAATATTTTTCGTTCCCTAGCAAGTGTCATTTTATAGTTAAGCAATTTCGTAAATTCATACTAAGAACGCTTATATTATGTTTGGAAGTATCAAATTAGCATCTTGAGTATAAAATTAATAGAAATTCAGTTTAAAATTTAATATTAAGTGCAAAAAAATCCTGAATTATGTCCTAGTTAACATAATTTCATGTCATTGAGCATCCTCTACTAACTCATTCATTCTCTCGTTGCAACACTTCTTTATCATTCAAAATTTTGTAATGTAAGATGAGGAGCTGGAAGTCCATTGTGAATACACTAGGACAACACCTTAAGGAGTACTAGGTGTTATAATGAGCCCTTCAAAAGAAGAGAGAGTGAACCATCCTCAAAAGGAGGAGAGGGGTTTAAGCCTGAGTGTGAGAAAAAGGGTATGTGTGTTTTATCATTCGGGAAAAAAAACCTCCAGGGATGGGATTGATGGCTTCGTAAGTAATTTAAAAGTGACATGTATGAGCTTCTTGATGTTTAACGTCCAAAATTAAAGAGATTATATTCGAATTGGATTGGTAAAGTTCATTGATTTTAATACTTGATATCTTAGCTCGATCTCAAGGCTTAGGCTTACTAAGAGGATTCATCAGAGACTTTTTTCAGCTTGAACATTTGTTTCAAGGCTCGTTTGCAAGTCTATCATGAAATCTTTATTACTCGAAATATTTCTATACATTTATTGAATTGCATCAAGCTTCGAATGTTTTTTCAGCCAAATCCTTTTTCTATAATCAATTTATACTGCCCATTCCTTATTACAAAAAACAAAAACAAAAACAGAAAAAACAAAAACAAAGAAAGTGAAAAAGACAAAGGAAAAATAAAGCCATTATTTTGGACCATGGTGAAATTAATAGAGCAAGCATGAGTAGAGTGACCAAACTCCTTGCATTTGGTACAAGAGAGAGGTTTCCATTCATATTCAACCTTTATGGGAATCAAAACAGAATCATTAATCCGAATATCAAACTCTTCAACCAAATCAATCCCTGCTTCAATTTCAACACAAATATGAGCAAAACCAAGTCTAGTTCTGCTCTCTGTCAAAGCGCCTGCATAAAGAGGTTTTCCAACCGCGCTAGCAATGTAACTTAACCCCTTTGCATTCCAAAATTCCAAGGGTACGTTGTGAAACTTGACCCAAATAGGTATCTTCTCCATTTTATCATTCAGAAAATTCATGCCCTTACGCCACTTCTCAAGAACAATATGACAGTCAGCAAAATGCCATGGACCACGCTCTAGAATAGCTTCACTTTCTTGCTCTGTGCTGAAACGGAAAAAGAAGAAGCCCCTCTCGTTATCTAATACCTCAATTAGACCATTTGTATTCCACAATCCATGAGCAATAGTGTTTACAGCTTCGTATGATAGTCTTCTAGGAGTATCAATGAAGTAACCCACAAAACAGTTGCGCCAATCTGCAGAACCCTCCTCTGCAACGTCGGGATCCACAAGGGGCCTAAATCCCCTTCTTTCTGGTTCAAGAAACTCCAGAACCATTTTTGATTTCCCGCCAAAACCGTTGTTTTCAACTACTTTGCATCTTTGATCCCTCACCATGTTATGCACCACTGGATTCTCAGTGATCCCTTCATATTTTGACTGAGATATAATATTACCCTTGAAGCTCTTGCTATGGCGACCGGCCACTCCACTTCGATCTGAATGCTCATTTACATCAGCAAAGGGTTTGCTGCGAGAATGAGACCTCAGCCGAGATTTAACCCTCAATGATTTTGTGTAACCTCTTTTAAATACACCTCCCTCCCTACCTCTTCCATTCGTGGTAGGAAAAGATGCATTCCCAGTCTTTCCTGATTTTGTAGCCATAACAATGTTCTTAACAGCACGCTCCTCACCCTGTTGACCTGAAAACTCATCTGGTTCGATAGCAAGAGCTTCAATGTTCTCAGATTCTGCAACAAGTTGGGTATCTTTTTGACTTTCACCAAATAGAGAATACCCCAAATCTTTAAGAGCTAAATTCTCAACCTTGTGCTGATTATACAATTCACCTGTCTTTAACAACTGACTGTTTCTAGTGGTTATAATAATTTTACTCCCTGGGTAAAACCAATCTCGCGCTTTCTGTATTGCATTATATCGGTCTAATGTGTCAACATCGTCAAAAACAATTAAAACTCTTTTGAACCTAATAGCATCTTTTATCTTAATGATTCCTTCTTCACAACTGCGGATTTTTTGTTTTGTCTTCTTTAAAATATCTGAAAGAAGTCTCTCCTGTAAACCAATCATACCATTGGGTTGTGCTGCAGTTTCTCTAATATTTAAAAGAATGCTGCTACGTTCAAATCTGTCGAAGTTTAGGTTATACACAGTTTTGGCAAGGGTTGTTTTCCCTGTTCCACTCATTCCGAAGATTGTCGTTATGCCAACATTAGTCGATCCATCTCGTAACCACAAATTAATATCTTCTATAGGAGAACTTAGTCCAATTGGGTATGGAGCAATTATCAGGGCTGCTCGATTCAATTTGTTACGAATCTCTTTAATGATTTTCTGGATAAAATTTGACTCCGACCTAAATGTGGCGATGGAAACAGAAAATAGAGCACAGGAAACATGTCATGAGCTGAAATAGAACAAGAAGTTGAATAAAAACTAATAACAATCATGTAGAATGTTGAATTTTTTGACAAGCACAAATCAAATATGATTACATGTACTCTGTTAAAGACATTGGGGAGATTATTCATTGTTATAGTATCTTTCTTTCTTTTCTTTTATTTTTTATTTTTTTTGTATTAAAATTTTATTTACTTATGAAAAGTGACACGATTCCATTCCCAACTATACCATGAATTCTGAAATAGGACAGTAATAAAACCCCAGATTTACATATCAAATGCATATTTGATTGCAAGTCTTTCATGGACTCTAATTTTCAATATATATATTATATATATATATATATATATATATATATATATATATTTTCATTTAAGTTCTAGCTTCTTAAAAATAAGTTATATGTTTTTATCAAACATTTGTTTGAAGTAAATGATAATTATGGTTCATTACTTTCCAAGTTTCTATCTAATTTCAAGCATTTTAATTAAGAAATAGAGTGGAGAGTAAGTAAGCATCCAAGGACATTGAATAATGTTCCAACAGTTATAAATATTGAACCAAATGGTGCTGAGAAAAGAATCTAAAGGAACTTACCCGTCCTTTAAAACCAACCCCGCCAAATATGCAACTTCCTTCAAAGCTTCCTTCCATCTTTTTATCTCGTCCATCCCTTGCACTTTTCTTTCTTCTGTCTCCATATTGAATTGCTCTTGGTGTATTGCAAATGCTTTTGCAAAACTGCCGGACTGCTCTCTGACTTCAGATGGATCCACATAGTAGAAGACGGGCAAAATTATATGGCCAACAGTCCTTTTGCGGTCAAGGATGATCAGAAGTTCATCAAGGCACCAGCTTGAAGACGCATAATCTGCTGAAAAGATGATTACGGAAATATTTGACTCTTGGATTGCCTTTGTAATTTCTGAAACAATATTCTCTCCTCTCTCAAGTTCATCGTCTCTAAATGTTCGTATTCCAGCATGTAGCAAAGCTGTATAGAGGTGATCAGCGAAGCTATTCCGGGTGTCCTTTCCTCTAAAACTCAAAAACACGTGATACGAACACCTGGTTGAGGAGATATCTTGGGCTCCTATACCAGCCATTTGACAAAGTCCAAGAGATCGATGAAGAAGTAAAATATGCAATCTGTATGGCACAATCAGTATTTGTATATATATGATGTCAATAAATAAATAATATGTATTAGAGTAGGCAAAGTCAACTAAATTCTGTGAATGACCAAAGTCCATGCTGAAACTGAAACGGGAGGAAACACATGCATGTAACCAAAAATCTGGACTACGTCCAAACCACGCTATATACAAAGTACTTCAAAAGATTTTACCTTAAGAAACAAATGTTTGTCCAAAATATTTGAGGATATAAATGACGCTAAAATATACAAGTCTTTAACTCAAAGGATAGATATCACATCCTCCTCCTCTCATTGGGAAGGTTGAAGCTTCAAATCTAATTTAGGACAAAGTTCCGAACAATTGGGCTTAGCCCAATTGCAATCTCTTCCAAGGTTGACCCTTATGGGACAAAGAATGGGTGTGTGTATAGTCTACCTATTGAAAAATAATAATTTATATATATATATATTGTATTTTTATTAGCTGTTTTGGATGTGGGCAAGGGGAATGTCCCAAAGTTTTGGACTCGAGTATTGCTTGTTGAGGTTTTGAACCTGGGAGAGTATCTTGAAGTTGAGAATATATACAATGCGCTCGGTGCACCATGCACCGGGCACATCGTGGTCATACGTGGCCATGCGTTTTGTACACACGCCCGTGTATGTACAACACGGACGGTTGTGATGTGCTCGGTGCACGGTGCACCGGGCACATTGTATATATTCTCAACTTTAAGACACTCTCCCAGATTCAAAACCTCGACAAGTAGTACTCGAGTCCAAAACTAAAAATTGCTTATGGAGGTTCATGACCTGGGTGAGTGTCCAAAGGTTTTAGCCCTGACAAGTGGGAGTTGGCTTTTGCCTCTGTGGCGGGGCTTTGACCATTTGACTTGACATGATGGTCCTTACTTGGATTTGTTTTGGAGGGTGCCACATGGTGGTGTGCCATGTTAAGAGAAAGGAAAATGTTTTAAAAGTTGAAGAGTGGTAAAGAATTTCTTGACCCAATGTTTTTGCAAAATATAAGGAAGTGGAACACCCACTTCCTTGCATATTTGCATAAATGACCAACCAAAAATATTCGGTTAAGGAATTCTACTATTCTTTGGCCTACTATTCTTTGTCATTTAATGTCCAAAACTACCATTTGATACTCCGCTGAAATCATTCAATGAACTGTTACAAATTGTAAGAATTGATTTGATCAAGGAAAAACTATTACATGGTCTGGGACTATATCATCGGGCAAATCCCAGTCTTATTTTCTCCTTGTCATGGCACATGAACTCCCTGCTTTCACCACCATTAAATCCCCATGGTTTGAAAATTCCACCTCCTTCCAACTCCTTTTTTTTTTTTGGGCCCCCTCACTTTGTGTATAATATTCCTCATTTATTGTTATTTGTTATCTTACCACCAAAGAATCCCTACAAAGCTTTAAATAATTCAATCTTCAATTATACCTTGCCAATCTAGAATTAGCATTTTACAATTACAATTTTTATTTAAAAATTGATTTATAATCTAATTTTTGTTTTAACTATTTAAAGACACTTAATTTTTTTTGTTAACGATCGGATTTTTTAAGTCATTTTATAATTTAAATTGCTTAATAGTTCGTCCTTTTTAAAGTATAAAAAAGTTTTTTTTTTCCAAATAAAAAGTAATAATTGTTAATTTTTGTGTATTAAAGCTAATGTGAATTCTACAGAACATTTTTGTAATTAATTTTAGATTAAATTAATTATGATTTACATTCATATCGAATATTCATTTATTAACTAAAAAATAAAATAAATTTAACCAGTTAAAAATATTAATAAACAAGAAACATCACAGTAAAAGAGTTATAATCAAAACTTGGTACAAATATTGCTGAATTAATAATATATTTTAGAAATAAAGTAAAATATATATAAAGGGTCCAATTGAAAATGAATTGGATTTATTAGTTTCTGAAAGAGAAAAGTAGAATCATTTTTAATTTTAACTGAAATTTTTTGCATAGATTTTATGTTGATCTCCATAAATTAAAGTATCATGAGTGTGTCCATAGTCATACATCAACGTATGAGTCAACAATAATTCCAAAAGATCGCTTCCTGACAATTAAATCGACAATAATTCCTAAAGATAGCTTCCGGACAATTAAATTCTTACTTCACATTTCAGAGGTTGTGGTGTTCAGCTATATGAAATTGAAGTATTGGAATTGGAATTGAAATTGGTAGAATTGGAGAAAATTTTGGTTCAATTCTATGAGTTATTTTTCTTCAAATTCACCAATTTTCCAAAGTTCCAATTACATGTAGCCGAACATAGCCTTAGGGTCTGTTCGGCTCTTTGGAATTGAGCCATTGGAATTGAATAGATCAATTCCAAATCTATTATTCGGTTCCACTAATTAAGTTTGGAGTTGGAATTCATTTTAGATTCCATAAGGCCAATTACACGATTACAAGTCCAAGTGTCATTGGATAATTGTTTTTTTACTCGGCCGTGGACTAAGCGGCACAACACTTCCATTATTGATAAAAATAACTATATGTAATATATATATATATATATATATATATATATATATATATATGAGTACATTGAGTAGAGAATTAGAACCAAAACAAGAGCAAGAAGTGAGCAGATCTTTCAACTGAGCTAACAATTAGTAAACAACATCATGAGTCAACTCAACAAAACAAGAACCAAAAATGAGATCCAGTAATTGCTAGTCAAATTCTCATATAGATTGAAATGGGTGAGCCAAAGATAGAAGGAAAAATTACCTGCAATTGCCGAAGAAAGATCCCTCCAGTAGTGGATTGTTTACTTCACAGATTGAAATTATTGTGTAAATTGATGAAAAAATACACAAGAGAATCAGAGAGATAATGTGTGACCAAAATAGAAATAAAAATCCAGTCTGAAATGATAATAAGGGCGGAGATGAAAGAACTATTATCGGTGAGTCCAATCTACCAAAAATAAAAATAAAAAAATTTGGTTGATGCGACAGAAGTTTCGTTGCAAGTGGCAAGCAAACTGAAAGGAAGCTTCCTCAATTCAACCTCAAGAAACTTTCAATTCAACCTCAAGAAACTTCAAGAAACTTTCAATTCAACCTCAAGAAACTTCCTAGTCAATATCCACGTGGAATTGCTGGCTTATGGGTGCAAAATCACCTACAGTTTTACAGCAACCAATTTTCTCCTTTTTTAAATAAGTGGCTGTCAAAGCGCTGCATCTTTAAAAATATTGAGTATATAAAAATTTTAAATATTATTTTCAAAATACAGTATAAGTTATTTTAATAGATAATGTGGGTCCGGTTTAATATTATTTAACTTTCAATTTTGCGTTCTAAGCCGTCTTCCTCCTTTTCCTTGGTCTCTAATATTTTATTTTGGGAGTTCCAGTGAAATTCTTTTGATTAAAATCAAATTTGTTCATTTTGTCTGAACAATTGATAGTTCATTCCAAATTCATATTGTTTACGTGATTTTTGAATTCCTAAGATAACAGACTTTTTTCTTCACTTTGTCTAAAAATTGTTAGTTTATTGATTCATAATTTGTTACTCTGGAATTGAAGAAGAAGCTCGGTCTATGTTGGTGTTCTTCTCTCTATCTCTTCGTGTCTGCTCCTAATCCTTCTCCTACTTAGTTACGTACTGCAATTACTATCTTTAGTAGAATTTTGTTGGGATTTTACATATAATATAAGTATGAAATAAAGTATGTACTGCTTAGAATTTTACGTTTAACATAAGTATGAAACAAACTATGTATTGCTTGGGATGTTAAAGTAGATTATAATTTGAACTAGTGTTTCGCCGATTAAAGTCAATGACTATCATCCAGTACGATTATAGTGATTATAATTTGAACTAGTGTTTCTCCGATTAAAGTCAATTACTATCATCCAATAGGATTATGGTGTTTCTCTGATTAGAGTCAATGACTATCATCCAGTAGGATTATGTTGGGATGTTGCGTACAACTTATATTGACTTAAATTACAAACTGTTGGATGTTATGTACAAATAATCCATTATGATTATATTGGGATGCTATGTATAACTTATATTGACTTAAATTACAAATTGTTTGGGATGTTATGCCGTTGTTGACAAACTATTTGGTAGGAAAGGTGGCGATGACACGGCAAAATGATGAGGGCTCGACAAAAGTTATGTGGCAACAAGTTATTCTAATTTAGGGGAGTAGTATGGAAGATGGACAATGAGTTGAATAATGATTAAGAGTATTTGTCAGATAAGCTTGCAAGATAGTAGGATAATATATTTAATTTAGTAGAGTTATATTAGGATTCTTTTAAGTTTTCTACAACTAATGGTAGAAGTTGCATTTGTAAAGGATCCAACAACTCTTAAACAATCGCATTTATAGAACAATTCTTTTTTTTAAATCATGCTTTCTTTAGTTTAATTAATTTCCTTTCTAGTTTTAATTCAGCTTTCTGTTAGTTGTTTAATTTCTAGTGCAATTTCCTTTATTCTTTCTTTTCTGCAACTCAATTTCTTATTCCTAGTAGTTTTTCTGCATTTAATTCGATTTCAGTAATATTATAGCTTTCCATTCTCGTATAAGATTCATTCTAGTTTTATTTATATTGTAATTTGTTTCCCTTTTAAAGTCCTTTTTAATCAAGGCAATTAGAACCCAACTGATAGTTTAATGTTCTCTTTCTCTCACATCCCTTGTTCATTATTTTTCACAAAAGAGACTGAGTTTGACCAGATCTTTATGTTTTGAACCAAGCCCATTGGTTCTGGTATGCTCGCACTTAGCCAATTTGTAAATCAACAGGCATAGCTGATTTAAGGGGTCAACATTTTGCACGCCCGATGGACCCACAGGGGTGAGTGAATTACAAACATGCTTTCGAGGCCAAAGAATTCCAAAAACACCGTCGCAATAGATGGTGACAATTTAGAAGAAAATCAGTCAATTCCTTTTTCTGAGAGTGAATCGGCTATGTAGCCAGATATTCTACTAGCCCAGATTATGGAGATACAGTGAATGGAATAAAAATATGATGCACAGACCTTTCAGATCGAGAGTAACAAAGCTGAGCTCCAAGCACAGATCAGTGAGAACAATTAAAGGATGGATACTATGATGGCGCAAATATCAGTTGTACAAAGCCGTGCTGACCGAGATAGATCGACTGCTCCTGAATCCGTTCCTCAACAGACTACATTGCCATTGGTAACTCTTCCAATGGCACAACCAAACACGTCTGTTGGATCCTCTCAACAAACTAATGTCGGTAGCATTCCGACAAGCATTCGTTCAACCACAGTGGAGGTGTTGTCCCAGCTTATGGTGTCATTGTATCATGCAACAGCAGAATCAGAATCAGTTGCGTCAGCAGACGTTACCTATTATTCCTCATAGGGATCTGAATGACTTGGGGGGCAACCAAAATCGGTGGAGAAACAATCAATACCAGGCTCTACCATTAGTTCCACCTATGGCCATTGGGGGGAGGGGGGGCAAATGATGGCAAATCATCAGAAAGAATGGCCAAAAGTCCATCCTCCATCATTACAACATATGGCTGACCCTCCTGCTCCCAATGGTGGGCTCGACAAGGGTCAATTGATTAATATTATACATACAGAGATGGCTCAGGGACAAACATGTCCTAGGCCCATGTATAGGAAGCCTTATCCTGATTATATTGACCAATACGAATTGCCCCGGGGCTACCGATACCCAGA